ATGGCCCAAACAGTGGAGAAATACCCGGAAGTGCCAAGCAAATGGTCTACCGCGCCTATTGGTCGGTTTTTATTGTCAAAATTAGATGTTTTTAATTTATTTTTTAATCATCACACTTGATTTCGCCGATTTTCTTGTTGCCCTAGCTGGTCGACACCTCTTTTAGCAGAAACAAAGGCTACATTAATGTATTAAATCGATGTTAATCCATGTGTGTGGAGGTGAGGATGTGGAATTAACGGACGTGACGTTGTGCGATTGCGTTGCCAGGCAACCCAATTTACAAACTCTTCAACTACAACCCTAATTATATTTTAAAACATTTTAGAAGGCCTCACGAAATACTTTAATGTAAATTAAAATGTAAATGTGAAGGGGTGTGTGTAATGTGGTGATTGACATTATTCACCCACGGATCTATGGGTTGGGGGTATTGTTCCGCACGGACATTTTAGTTAAACGGACTTACTGTTGATGTGAAATCCGAAAAAAAATACGTTATACACCATAACGGTGCACAGCTGATATAAAAGGACTTGTCGTTTTTAAAGATATTACTGATTTTCTTTGAATATAAGAATGTAAATACTGAGTTGAGAGAATAGTCAGGGGATTTGGGTGATGGGAGACACATCTATGGATTCAGAATTTCAATAGCTTACTGTTAAATGACAGATATACCTTTCTGTCTGTGATGTTTTACAAATCAGATATTATAAGTAAAACATGTGAAATAATATAGCAATATCCTGTACAATTATGTGAAAACATGAATAAAACTACACATCTTCAGATATTATACATACACAAGTGTCCTACACTAATAATACAAAGTTATTATGGCTGTGTGCACCGCCTAGTGGTTAAAGCACGTTATTGAATTAGTTGTGTATATGATATGTCAATGATCCTTAGAAAATCTTGAAATCTTGAAAGGGATATGCAAAATAGCCATTATATACAGTCTTTAATGAACTATTAGTAGAGAATAACGAGTAATGAATATACTTTATAGGGATCTGCAGATAAATGTTTAGTCTTCTCAAGCAGCAACTATCAAATATCTCTCCTGATTGTTGGCACTTGACAATCACCTTTCCCTGAATTTTACTCAGGTGTAACTAAAGCCTGATTTAAGGGTTGTTTATATTTCACATCATTAATCAGAATCTGCAAAGTAACTAAAATAAATGTAGTGGAGTAAAAATACCAGGTTAACCTCTGAATTGTAGTGGAGTAGAATTGCTGTTTTGTTTAGTAATGGATATTGAATATGGAATAAAGGTTTTGACAAGACCTGGTGTAACAATAATCAAAAAGGACATTAAAAGAGCTCCAGATGTCAATGATCTAAACAAAACAGCACACCTGAAATGTATTAAATACTTTATTAAGGGCAGTGAATTAGTTTTTTCTGTATGTTTTTCAAATCAGTGTTATACAGTAAGTGTCATAGACAGTGTTACATTGCTATTATTATCCTTAAAATATATATTATAAAACAAAACCATTTATGATCTTTTTTTTGGGTGGTTTACTAATGACAGTTAATTCTGTTTCTGCTATTGATGGTTTCATTTTTGTGAAAAATAATCAAATAATCAAATTCAATAACGTGCTTTAACCACTAGATGTGCCTTTCTATCAGCTGTGCACCGTTATGGTGTAAATACAGCCTATCTACCAATTGGATCAAATATAAAAGTCAGCCGAATTATTATTGATACTGCAAGGAGACGTATTGTGTGAAAATAAATGTAAGATGTTGTTTAATTGCGGATATATTTATGATCCACGTCACGTTTTCAGTTTTGGCGGCAGTGCTTCCTGTTTGTCCAGAAGTCTTCTCATCAGGGCTCTATAAATACAGAACTACGGCAGATGTGTCATATTTAATGCAGCCAAACCGTGTATTACAATGCCGTTATGTGATGACCTCCAAAGAGAAAAGCAAGCAAACTCGGAATAAAGTATTATTTTATTTTTTTTAAATGTTTTCGGATTTCACATCAACAGGAGTCCGGTTAACTAAAATGTCCGTGCGGAACAATACCCCCAACCCATAGATCCGTGGGTGAATAATGTCAATCACCACATTACACACACCCCTTCACATTTACATTTTAATTTACATTAAAGTATTTCGTGAGGCCTTCTAAAATGTTTTAAAATATAATTAGGGTTGTAGTTGAAGAGTTTGTAAATTGGGTTGCCTGGCAACGCAATCGCACAACGTCACGTCCGTTAATTCCACATCCTCACCTCCACACACATGGATTAACATCGATTTAATACATTAATGTAGCCTTTGTTTCTGCTAAAAGAGGTGTCGACCAGCTAGGGCAACAAGAAAATCGGCAAAATCGAGTGTGACGATTAAAAAATAAATTAAAAACATCTAATTTTGACAATAAAAACCGACCAATAGGCGCGGTAGACCATTTGCTAGGCACTTCCGGGTATTTCTCCACTGGTTGGGCCATGATAACAATACCGTGTAACTGTCACGTTTGAAGGGACGAAACCGTGATATATTCACGTCTCCCAGCATGGTAGATCGTCACATGTTCACGTCTTGCCGTGATACCGGGTTGGTTCAGAGATTTGTTTGTTTTGTGGGTTGTTGCGTTTCTTTGTTAAAAACTTTGGTAATTAAAATTACCAAACGGCATTCTCTGTCTCGGTGTCCATGTTCTTGGGAGTGGGAAGAGTTGGGAGAGGGCAATTTTATGCTGCGCCTAGTTTCCCTAGATCTGGGCGTAACAGTGATAAAGAATGCATCTAACATAGCCGTAGGAACATGTTTCAAATGGGGGGTGCTGTGGGGATGATACCAGGGCCGGTTCTGACCAATTTGCTGCCCTATAGGCAAGATTTTAGCTGGCATCCCCCCCCCCCCCCCCCCCCCCCCCGTCGAGGCGTGCAGGAAACTAAACCCACCTCCCCTGAACATGGGTCGACTGAAGAGTCTCGTCATGCCTGCCTACAAGAAGTAGCGCTGAACAAAGTGACTAGAAGGCAACCACACACTTATAAAAAAAAAACACACTTTATAAAGTCAGGCAACACTAACCAGGCTTCGTGTGATTCTGTTTATTTGTACCTTACTTTGACCATCCGTTCGCTGTTATTGATCATTGTGGAGAGCAGACAGACGTTTTGTTTTGTATCATAGCAGCTATCGGATGGAATCAATACATGGGCTGCAACTTAAGGGGAACTGGGGATATGTATCGCTGCTTGTGTCACAGTCAGACAGTGAATACTTTAGAGCCGTGTGAGCTAACCCGGAGCTAACGGGAGAATAAACTCCCGTGGAAGAGCAGCCAGCACTGCAGCGGTCGGTAAATGCCACTGAAACACATTAATAAACAATGAACCACGGCACTCTGGAGAAAAGTATAAGGTTGGAGAAGTCGTTATTTAATTTAATCTGGCTTCGTATGATTAAAAGCAACACGATCATTGACCCGACGCAGACCCCCGTTGTTGTTGTTGTTGTGAGCGCCGTTGGGGAGCAAATCAGCGATGTAAACGGTGACGTCATGACGCAGCAGCGGCAGCACCATCCCGGCTCTGGGCGGTGTGAACAAAGCGGGAGCAGAAAAGGGAAACCGGAGATGAACCAGAAAAGCTCTAGCACGGAGCTAGAATGGGAAAAGCGCTGGTGTGAAAGCCGCATTATTGACATGTTGGACAGCTTATATAAAAAAGCTTCAAATGTATTTAATATTGTATTAACATGTTTTAACACGTCACATCCTCTAAGGGGGTCCGGGGGTATGCCCCCCCGGGAAGATTGTTTTTAACATTTTAAAGTAAAATGCTTCAATCTGGAGCACTTTGAGCATAATTACAAGAGACTGGATCTAGGGGGTACAACTCTAAAACACCCATATGAAGAAGATCGGTTTACATTTTAATAACCAAATAAGTATGTGAACATAACCAATAACCTACCATAGCCAATAACAAATAAATGTAACGTACTTTATTTTTGTTGTTCATTTATATCTTATTTTACCTAGTTAACAGTTATTTATTTATGCATATTTTTTAATCTCTCCAGTTTTAAAGGATATTTTTGGTTTACTGTCTATAGTATACATTGGAATGATTTCAAACCTGTTTTTATTTATCCTAATAATTATAAAGGAGTGCCTTGGAAATATTTGTTTACATAAATTGTGACCAAACCGTTTGAGACCCACTGAGATAACTTAGACTTAAGTGAACTATTTAAACACTCAGAGTCCTTTACCTCACTGAGCCTCTCAGGGCACATGGAAAATGTAACCGGGGTGAAAAGGGTGTTATCTTTACTTAATTATTAATGTTGTTACATCAATGCCGAAAATTAGTTTTTTTTGTATTATATTTGTATTATATTTCCATTAATCTTGTGGACGTGCAGATTCCCTGTCCTCCATCAGGGGGTGCTGCAGCACCCTCAGCACCCCTACTTCCCATGGCCATGGCATCTAACCATGCGGAAATGTCGTCATCAGCAGGCCATCACGTGGCTTCCGAAAATAACCGAGTGACACGAGTAGATTTTAGCCGAGACCGGCGGAAAGGTTGTCTCAAAACTCCGTGTGTGTAAAAAGACGATCCACAAGCAGAGATTTGAGATCCACAAGCAGAAATGTGAGATCCACAAGCGCATTTTTGGTTGACAAATACAAAATGGATTCACAAATGCCTGATCGAAAGTTGTAAATGTTAAAGAGATATTAAGATCTTTTTTTTATTTGTAAAAATATTTTGCCCATTTGCAGATCCGTTTTACATTTGCAAATGTATTTGTGAGTTTGCAAATCTTTTAAATACATTTGTGGATGGTGTTTTACATTTACAAATCACATATTTAGTTATTTACACACAAATTATGTTTCTGTTCACACAAATAATTATGAGACATATCTATGCCCATATTGTTAGTGTGGCCGACACACCCACGAACCATTTCCTCCTCAGAAAAATACTACCTCTCGCAGGGACTATCTGGCGGTGGCGGGGGAAAAGGTTCGCGCGAACTAGGGACTAGTTCCAAATCCTTTTTGGTGTGAAACCAAATCTCCCCCGTTTATCGGCCTAGTTCGGAGGGAAAAGTACTCCGGTGTGAAAGCGCCAAAGGTAAGGGGCACAGGTGGAAACAATCACAAACGCAGGCGACACATAGGGGCGGGGAGCACAGCGACTTGAAACGAGAGGGAGAATTACTTTTCAAAATATAAACAGGAGGAGACAAGACAAAGGGACATGACAAAAGCTAATTTAAAGAATATAACTTTACAATAATCTTTCGAGACATGACAATACACTTATATGTGTTAGTTGAGTAGGTGGGAAAATAGGATTATTTTAAAGAATGCAGATGGCTCTGTAATTGTTAGAGGGCTCCAGGATAATGAGAGCAGCCACAGCCCTGTCATTGACGACTGTCTGGTGTGAAGAGTCCTATCTACAACTGAACATATGTACAACCAAAGACATGGTAATTGATTTTAAAATCCCCACATACATGAAGTCTTATCCATCAAGAACCAGACAGTGGAATTTGTGCAATCACACAAATATCTTGGGAAAGCTATTGACTCAAAATGAGCTTTGAAGCAAACTGTGAAGTTAGACTTTTAAAAAGTGGTGGGGACAAGTCCCCAGCGTAAATGACACCTATGCTAACAACCACTATGAAAAGGGGAAAAAACCCACTATGAAGAGACACACAATGACTACAAACAGATAAACAAAACAACTACAAAGATTGTCTTGCTCGTCTGTGGGAGAGATGGTGGGGCTTTCGGCATTTACCCAGGGGGTATAGTCTCATAACCATGACTTGACATGATTCACAAGCCAAGCTTCAGGTTTAACCTCATGTTGCCATTTCTGAAAGCTTCCCCCACCCTGCAGACATATCCCTCTGTCCTCACCAATCCACTTCAATAGTCTCCACACTTGCCGTGTGTTTATATCTTATCCCTATCTAATTATTCCTCTCTAGACCTTACATGTGAAGTTTGAACTGAACTGCTGGCTGGATCTGAATTTCAACATGTCACACAGACATGAAGAGTCAACAAATGACTGTCCAATGAACTGTTAGCAGGGGGTGGTGCCTCAGCAGGTGGCCGCTGACCTGCAACAGTTGGTACCTGAAGTCAGGAGAGTCTATTGTACTCATTAACTCTCAATAAAGACAGACATGGAGCTCGGCTCAACGGTTAGTGCTGTGAGGAGTCAGAGGGTGCTGCTGGGGGACGAAATACGTCCTGCTGTCATCCTGATAAAGGATGGGAAGATTCATCAGATACTCTCAGACATTTCTGTGGACGTTCCCTGTGAGGTAAGTACGTTTGTGGATGGAATGGTACATCTATGTTTATATATCATGGAAGCTCCTCATAATGTGTTGACACTCATGTCCCCCTGTTTGTGATCCCACCTTGGGGCAGGTGTTGGATGTGGCTGACAGTGTGGTGATGCCCGGCATCGTAGATTCCCACGTCCATGTGAATGAACCGGGCCGCACCTCCTGGGAGGGGTTCTGGACCGCCACCAGGGCTGCTGCAGCTGGAGGGGTGACAACCATTGTGGACATGCCACTGTAAGTCTGCAGACCCCCCCCCCTCTCAGAGTCAATCAAATCCCACTGTCTGACCTCTCAGGGTCACCAGCGGGGGGTAAAGTTTGCAGGGTAAATGTAATTAAAAAAACAACAACAAAAAAAACATCCAGTTTTGCAGAACTGTAATAAGTCCTTCCAATCAGTGCATTCGGCCCTCATGCCTGCGTAAGCTCATTGTGTGTCACAAGGGACTTTTAAATAATGTTGTTTTCTTTGTGCAAAAAGTGATGAAAAAGCAAATCACTTTTCTTTATGTTTTTACTATCTATTCCCGTGTGCCAATCTCTAATTTAGGCAGTTTTTTTTTTTTAAATCCCCACAGAAACAGCATCCCTCCGACTACCACACTTGGCAATTTTCGCGATAAGATGAAGGAGGCGACAGGGAAGTGTTTTGTGGACACAGCCTTCTGGGGAGGTGTGATTCCTGGCAATCAGGTACAGTGGAACAGCTTGGATGAAAATTAATCCATTCTGAGGTAAAAATGACTAAATAATAACCAAACACGAACAAACAAATGTATTCTTAGCTAGAACTTCGGCCCCTGATGGAGGCAGGAGTGGCTGGCTTCAAGTGTTTCCTCATCCACAGTGGGGTGGAGGAGTTCCCCCATGTGACGGACTGTGATCTGCACGCAGCCATGCAGCAGCTGCAGGGCACAGGAAGTGTCTTGCTGGTAACTCACAACCTGCAGCCCTCACCTTAACATGACCACATGAAGAACATCAATGTAACGGAGATACCTTCTGCTGTGTCTCCTTTAGTTCCATGCAGAGAGGGATGTCCAGCAGACAGCAGAAGAGGATGGCGGTAACAACATATTTACTTTACTATTCAGTATCTGCCTGCGCTATACTATCTTCAGCCAGAGTGTACAGAGCGGAGTGTGTAAAAAAGATACATTTTGCATTCTCTCAATAACAATTTGTGAACTTCTGCCTTAAAGATCTCCTATCATGCTATTTGTAGGCATATATTATAGGTCTCAGATATATACAACTATATAAAAACATGTCTATGATGTGTTTTGCTCAAAATACCAAACAGATCATGCATTTTAGACATCCCTCATATCCCTCTATTACAGGACTGTTAGAGAACTGCAGGTTTGGGGTCCTTAGCTTGAACAAACAAAAAAGAGGAGGGGGAGCTAATGCCTGCTCAGAATGACCGTACGGCAGCTACGGTTAAATTCTGCCGTGATTAAACGCCATCATGTTCCAAACCACATCAAGGATTATTTCTGAAACAGTATGGAGCTTTTTTACACATACTCTCTCCAGTACAGGTTAGCTCTGAGTGTTAGCGATGCTTGCTAATGTAAACCAAGACCATATTACGTCAAAAACAGTCGGGCATTGTTTCTGATAGCAACGTTTCTGATAGTGGGTCCACATTTCCGATATTACGTCATATCGGACGAAAATCTGGATCAGCTCCGTTGTACCCCCGTTTTTCGAGATTTGGGTAGGGAGGAAAAGAGAGAGGGTTTTATTTTCTGACACTTTGTGAGTCTCCTGACACACCGGGGACACATGTTTATGTATAAAAGACATCAACAAGTGCATTTTGCATGATAGGTCCCCTTTAAGGGTTCCGACAACAGCCATATTGGCTTGAAAATGGTGGAATGGGGCACTAGATTTTATTATTTACTGTTTGTTAGCTGGCTAATCTTCTGCTCCACCTCCACCGGCTAGTAGGGCTGCACGATTTTGGGAAAAAATGTAATTGCGATTTTTCTGACAAATATTGCGATTGCGATTCGATTTGCGATATTTGTTTTTAAGCGACCCAACGGAAGTTTATTGTAAAATGCGGCCATATCTCCGGCTAGGAAGGTCGCATCAACATGCTCCCGTCTCTAGCACCCCCGCAGCCCGAGCTACGAGTGAAAGAACTAAACTTACATGAAACTTCCGTTGGGTTGCTTTAAAGTCAAGCTTCAGTTTAAGATTCACCCTGTAATAGAAACATGTGATGGAGCCTTACTAACCTGACTCAGAGGCTTTGTTTCACCAAACCATCTAGGAAAGCTCCATTGGAAGCCATTTGGAAAGGGCAGGCACTTTCAAAAATACTTGGCAGGTGATTGGATCAATCTGTGTATCACCTTCTATCATGGGCCACTTCTGATTGGTTAACAATGGCTGATACATGTGGACTAGATCAGAACACATGATGTTGCTGCCATTGCACAGGATAGACCACGCTCTGACCCCCAGGAGTTTGTGCTTTCTGAGGAAGGTTTCTGGAACCGCAAGCTGGAGGTCTGTGTCCAGAGCTATTGTCCACTTCACTTTCTGCAAAGTAATCTCTTTATCGGCAGTTAGGGCAAGTTAGCCAGCCATCTCTGGCCCCTTTATGGTATGATACACTTCAAAGCTACTGAAATCTATCAAAGGGACAATAAATGTTCCCTGGAAGAACCTCTTGCGAGACCAGAAAACAGAAAAGTATTTTGAATGTTTTCATCAAACTGAATGTTTCACTTAAGTGCGCCGTGACATTTTCTTTGAGATATCAAGTTGACATTTTTCACAATTGTGATTTTTGGGAGTTTTCTCAGCTAGAGAAACTTTTGTTATATATACTTAATTTATAAATATAATATAAATATATATATATACTTAATATATCCATAAATCAAGGTTTATAATAGCACAGTATTGACTTCATACTGATGGTTTGGTCCTACACCTCTTCCCACTTAAGACCCTTCCCAGTACTCCACCTTCCTGAAGTCCAGACCAGATGTAATGGAGACGGAAGCCATTCGCACCGTCACAGAACTCTGCCTCGAGTTCCAGTAAGAATAAAATAACCTTTAAATCATAGAAGATCATTCTGGGCAGCATGTGGTTGTGAATGTAGCTTTGATGCTACACTGAGCTAACCTCTCTGCTCCAGGGTGCGCTGCCACATCGTGCACCTGTCCTCTGCAGAGCCTCTGAAGCTGATCCAGGCTGCGCGGCAGGCCGGAGCGCCCCTGACCGTGGAGACCACCCACCACTACCTCAGCCTGTGTGCTGAGAACATACCTGCAGGCGCCACACAGTTCAAGTGCTGCCCCCCCATCCGAGGATCTGCTAACCAGGTAAACACAAGCGGATGCACAGTGGATCAACACCTCAACAACAACAACTTCACTGCACTTTCTATTTTATTCTTTGTTCACTTGGGATTGCTTTTGTCCTCACAGGAGCAGTTATGGTCTGCACTGAAAGCTGGGCAGATTGACATGGTGGTGTCGGATCATTCCCCCTGCACCCCCGATCTGAAGAAACTGGAGAGAGGAGACTTTACTGAGGCATGGGGAGGAATTTCCTCTCTACAATTTGGTAACTGCACTATTAATAATACAGTGTATTACAATAAATGAATAACATATTGTATGTTTTTCATCACCTGGAGCAACTAACCTGGCACCACTGTTACTGCAAACCTAATGCATCATAAAATAATATCATTATATTCCAATGATTTGAGACTGTTTATACCCAAACTCCATTAACAGTTGCATTGCATTGCAAACTGCACACAGATTCAGCCATCGTCCAGGATGTCAAAATGCAAATTATTGATTAAATTATAGTGTTTTAGCATCTTTAAGGTAATTGTTTTGTTTTTATGGCAGCAGACAGCAGACACCTGTTTTCAGCTAGAAGCTCTGATCATCTGAATATGCTGTATAATGCACCTTTGTTGTATGGGAAAGTAGTTTTTAGGAGACAGAGTTGCCAGGATGCACTCAAACTTTGTTGGTTGGGTTTACCTTGTTATAACCCTCATTGTTGGTACTTGTTTGATTTGACATCATGTTCTGTCTGAAAATAGTCAACGGTCATTGACTTATCAGTTCACATTTAGATGTGTGTATTAATATGCATATGGGGCTTTTAGCTGTGCATCAGATGATGCACCAGCCACCATAATTCATTGTTCAAGGAGCAGCTTCAGTTCTTTACATGATAAATCCTCTCTGCTGATAGCTGAACACATTGGCTAAAATGCACATCTTAAACCTGGCCTGTGTAATAGTACAGGAAATGTATGTGCAAAGGTTCTTTTAGATTGGATTATTGGCTCTCTCCCACCTATAACCCTTCTGACAGTCACTCGCAGGGCGAAGTTCACAGGGAGGCAAACAAGAGCTGAGAGACAGAACAATTATTTACCGTTCAGACAGTGAGAGGGGTCAAAGTCGGACACCAGGTCCACTCTCATCCACAGTGTTAACTACTTTTTCCGAATTCAGGAAATTCTGAAATATTTGATTGTTTCAGCTCAATTCTTTTTTAGGCCTGTTAACCTCTGCACCTCTCAAACACTCTCAGGTCTGCCTCTGTTCTGGAGCTCGGCCAGTAAGAGAGGCTTCCAGCTGAGTGACGTGGTGAGGCTCCTCAGCCGGAACACAGCCCAGCTTAGTCGCCTTGACAACCAGAAGGGCTGCCTCGCCCCCGGTTACGATGCTGACCTGGTCATATGGGACCCTGAGAGAGAATTTGAAGTTTGTATTACAATAATGATAATACATTATATATATTGTACCTTTCATAATAACATGATTACAAAGTACCTCACAACAGCTCTTCTTGTTGACTGTTAAGTTTCACCTTTTGTCATTTTTGCCTTTATTTCGTTATTTGTATTTGTTTTTATTTTGTTATTATTATTATTGTATTTTATATAATGCCATATGTTCTAATCAAGGAGGGTTCCTATATTTATACATAACATGATTAATGTATAAAATCTTTATACGTACATGTTTATAACTTACAATTTTAGGAATATTAATTTTTTCGAGATACACAGCAAGGGAATAATGAAAGTGAATGCACATTCAAGAATGGTGTTTTCAAAAGACTTTAACAAAGATGTGGTTGTCGGATCTCCTGATAGTAAAGGCCCTGCTCCTGGTTTTCAATCTATCTCTCGGAATCTCTAAAAAAGAGACCTACCTAAGTTTTTATATATTAAGGACAAAGTAAAGCTATATACTCTATTGCACTGTATTCATTTACATTTCTGTCATGCTTCACAGATTACAGAAGGAGGCATACATCATAAAAACAAGGTACACCACATTAAAAGAAGAAATTGATTAATGTAAGAAGAAGCTTTGTTTATCATTTTAACATTTAAGTGTGTGTGTGTGTGTGTGTGTGTGTGTGTGTGTGTGTGTGTGTGTGTGTGTGTGTGTGTGTGTGTGTGTGTGTGTGTGTGTGTGTGTGTGTGTGTGTGTGTGTGTGTGTGTGTGTGTGTGTGTGTGTGTGTGTGTGTGTGTGTGTGTGTGTAGCTCACTCCTTACCTTGGCCTCAGTCTGCAGGGTGTGGTGTGTGCCACGCTGGTCCGGGGTCAGCTGGTGTACAGAGAAGGCTGCTTCTGCCCCGAGCCTTTGGGCAAGCTGCTCCTCATCCCCCCGGAAAGATCGCAGAAATAGCAACAAGCTATAATGAAATCATACGTAATTAAAGTACTGATAATAAAAACGAATTCATACTTATTAGTGCCTTCTTTTTCAGGAATTTGAGACCACGTTAGCACACTTTATCACAACAAAATCAAACAAGCTTTCCAGATTGTGTGATTTGCATCTGCATGTGTTCACAATGTGTTTGCATCTGTAAAACCTTAATATGATATGATTCGTGCCATGCTCTTTTTATTTGAATAAAAGCCTTCAAATGGAGTTCACATTGTTCCTGTAGATATACATTATATCGTTCTTCTTTATAGCTTCAGTATGCTCTTAATCCCATAAAAAACAGTATGAAAGGCCTATTTTGTTAACACTGGCCTATATGTAATATGGTTGTGTGTCAAACTGACAGCTGTAATGTACTGGAACTATTCTACTCTCAAAAGTAATACATTAAAAAAAAGCCACTGAATCTTTTGGGGGACAACACAATTGATAACATAAGCCTTATTTTCCTTATTGATGATAAAATGTATACCCTTAAATCTGGTCAACTTTTATAAGACTGTTGCAGACCTCCAAACATTATTTTAGCCTATACACACTGTACACATATTTAAGGGTTGTTGGAGTAGAATACCTCTGCTACGCGCCGTTCGTTGGATGAGGCTGGATCTCTATTAAATTAAGAAAGGAATTGAAAACACCGGAATCAAAGTTATAACAAATTATCTGAGTTTACTTCTAGTAGGAAACCAAACACATATACAAGTTATACAGAGTACTCCGGGTACCCCGGGCTTTTAGATTTGTGATGCGATGCGGACAAATGCGTCAGGACCCGCCAACTCATCAAACCAAAAAGAAATTGGACTTCAGGTTTGTGATGCGATACGGACACAGTTCTCAGGACCTGCCACTCACCAAACCCAAAAGCATTTTTACACTCAAAATCATCAGTATTTCTATCCATTTTTGGGGCGGAGATGGGTCATCTCTTCCTTCCCACTTTTCTCCCAAGCGAATTAGAGAACCCCTGGGGAGGAGCTGTTTAAACTGACCACCTCCTCCAAGTGTCCTGACTGGCTGGATTCGCTTCTGGCCGAGGTCAATCAGAGTTTCGAACAGAGTGAGACCCCAAACCACACTAGGTCAAAAGTCAATGTTTATCTTTACCTTATCTTACTCTACATTCCTTCCCAGGGGTTCTTTTCACCTAAACCATTCTCCCACAGACATTTAAACTCTTCTTCACTTATTTTACGATGTCTTTTAACGACTTAGTGACCGCATCTGGCTCTTAGTGGTGATAAGGATCAATGTTGGTGTGTGAAACACAGAATCTCTAAGTCAGTGAATTTAAAAGTGAGAATAACATTCTTTTTCTAAGTGATTATCAAAACCCGTTTGTGATTACATAAAACATTTCAAACAATATATGTTTACTTCAATACAGTGTAGAATCATATCTTTTTACTTCAATCCCCCTTTTGATCTCACCTCACGAGATCAACATATAGCATTTGAAACATTCCTACTGACATCATTTATACTGTGTCCCAATATTCATATAACTCCATCAGAAGCCGGGATGTAGAGCACTTTAAACTGTTAGGAATCAATCCCCAACAATAACTTCTTATGACAGTATAGGGAGAATAAAATATGTCTAAAAAAGTCCGTCCTTGTCGGCTGAGTCATCTTTACTCTTCCCTCAATGGTGGAACTGATGAGTCTTAACACACAATGAGCAGATACAAGGCACACAACAACAACCACATGTCACCAAAATGGCAATAAAAGTAGCCACAGAAATCAGAAAAGACATTATCATACTTTTCCCTCTTTTGGTAACACATAGTTCTGTAGAATAAAAAATACAAATCCCTTACATTATGGGATATAAAAATAAAGTTGAAAGTTCCTCAAAAAAAAAAATGGATTGTTCAGACAAAGTTCCACACCGGCTATATCAACCTGTTTCAGCGGGAAATGGAGTTCCCTGTGCCATCTTGGTTTGCCATATCTTCGTCCCCCCAGCCCGCTGACGGCGGCTTCTGGGGTGCTTGCTAGAGAGATGTGGCCTGATTGTCCTCCCCCGGCCCGCTGATGGCGGCTTCCGGGTCGATGCTGGAGAGATGTCCCGATCCTCCTCCTCCGGTCTGCTGATGGCGCCTCCTGGGTCGACTGCCTTGACGAGAGCCAGATCTGTTCTGATGTCGTCCAGGGTCCTCGCGACGAGGGCCAACTCTGTTCTGATGTCGTCCAGGGTCCTCGCGACGAGGGCCAACTCTGTCCTGATGTCGTCCAGGGTCCTCGCAGGTGTTTTTCCCGACCGCAGACTGGCTCCAGTGGTACCAGTTGTCTCCCTTTCCATCTAGGCGAACGGCATGGGAGGTCCCCTCCAACCAGACGTAATCTGCTGTGTTGGCCTTGTGTTTCTCGGGTCCCCCTTTTGACGTCAGCAGCCTGTGTGGAGAAGTCTCATACCAAGCCCTTAAGTTGCTGGAAATATGGTTTTGAAATCATCTCAAAAAATCTAAATCAAAATCAAAATCAAAAATCAAAATAAAAATCAAAAATAGAACAAAAATAAAAATAAAACAAAAAAGGAACAAACTAACAAAACAAAAAATAACCAAAGCTAGATTATTTTAAATGTATCAATTTCTCTTAAAAGCAACAAATAAAACAAAACAAAAAATACCAAAACTAGTATTTTAAATTGATAAATTTCTCCTAAAAACGTAATAATCTCACATACATATTGTCTGATGTATATCCTATCCTTTTCCCCCTTTTTCTGAAATAGAACGCCGTTAACGGTGTTCTTATTTTCAGAAACATCGAGCCTTATACATCAGTTATTTAATATCAGCTATATATTTACTATTACTATTACTTATATATCAGGCATTAAATGTCAGCCTTCTTCCATGATCGACCTCGTCTACATTATCTGACTTATATTGATACGTGTCTGTTTGTATTTATTTAATATACTGGGCAATTATTGATAACTTTTTGAATCTCCCTCTTTTCTTAACAACTTGAGGTATGGCTATTTTGAAATCTGACTTGGTTAAGAGATGATTCGTTTATTGGTGAGAGGCACACTCTTGCCCTGGTGATTGGGTGGGGGTGAATATTTAGGGAGAGTTCCTTACAATCTCCAGATCTTCCTCTCAGTGTAGAGGCCATAAAACCTTTTAATGGGCTCTGTGGTCTGTTCAGATTTAGATTTTCTTCCTCTCCAGAGGTCACACCTGTCTTTGACCCTGTATGCTGCTTTGAGTCTGCAGCACCTCAGGAGCAGAGAAAGTGGAGATCTCTTCCCAAAAGTGTAAGCCCCCACATGAGCAACATAGCAACACATTAAACTCCCTGACTTGTTTGTAAAGCGTTCTTTAAGGCCTGAATTGAGTCTGCTGTTGTGTAACGGAAAATCCCATTTCCAAAAAGGGTCAGTTTAATAGCCCTTATCATATTATCGCTCTGTGCTTGCATGCTAGGACCTATTGTCTTTGCCAGAGCTGCTGCTATTCTTTCTACATGTTTTAGCTCCATATTAGCAGGGTTCACTAACATGGTTGGTTGATCCAGTTTAAGATTTTCAATATCTTCCATTACTATTTCCAACATTCCTTATCCCTGAATATCAGGTCTAACAATGTGTTTTCCTTTAGGAGTATTAGATGGGATACTCATAAGTGGCATTTGTGAGCCCTTATCTCCTTAGGGTGGAGGTAGGGTCTCAGACATTATACCACCTTCTCGTTGCTCTCTGTCTCTCAAGTATTACACAGATTTGACTTTAAAAAAATCACACAGAGCTTCTCATACCTTATCATATCACATTCAGGCAAATTTTTATTGTGCGATGTTTATTTCAACAGATAGCGTGACTTCCAGAAGTAGGCTTCTACAATCTCCTCACGGTGATTGCGACTTCAGGTCAAGAGTTAAAAACTCAGTCAACAAAATCTCTTTATCGTCATGTTTAATGAGCCTGATTATCCCCACAACAGTTTTGTGATGAGATACGGTCGTTCCAAATAATTAGTTGGAGGTCGCGTCTCTCTCCTCCTCTATCACCCACCATATAACAATTACAGACATTTTATACATTTAAAGCACCACGAAAGGTAACCGCATTAATCAATCTTATCATGATCTGCGGGGAATGCAACCCTTTTTTACACCTTTTGCAGCCTTTAACCTGTTCCACTCTGAGCCTGTTTTTCAGGTCTCAGGCTCGAAAATGACATTCCCAGAACAAATGACCATATCTTCCCTTCTAAAAGGGTTAAATGAATAATCTTTTTTCTCAAAGTAATGATAAACCTGTGAGTTGGATGTAGAAGTGTCAGAATCAATATAAATGTTTTTTATTTTAAAGAAAATTCAGATTTTACATAGTAAAAAACTGTAAATTATAGTGTCCGTCCAAAAATTATTTTTTACGGATAGTGAAAACTACCCTTGGATGATGGGTTAGTAGACTAAAAGCTTTAGGAATCCAAAGTACAACATATAATAAGTACCCTGTATCAAGATTGATGCAAAACAAGTGAAATTTGACCTTTTTAGAGAGATTTAGCCAAAAACTGGGCCATCTGGGGTCATTTGGGTGGATTTGACCTATCTCTGGCCCCCCTTGCTCGATTTGGTTGGTTGACATACCCTTGTGACCGTTAGAGCCAATAGAATCGAAGGGGGAGGACAACACCCACACAAGCTGTAAAGAAAAAATGTGGGCGCTTCGCGTGTGGAAAACGAAACCAAACTGGAGGAATGTCTCCTTCTGGAGTTTGGAAACTAAAACGCAGTTGTATTGCTTATGGATTATCAGAAATAATTTCAAAGAAGGCACAGACACATAGGATGAACCTATGGATTAACTGCAGCATCGTTTTTTTATCGTTTTAATGCCATTGAAGACCACTTTTGACCAAGGTAAGCCATATTTACGTGTTTAGCTTCTTAGCTCCACATGTGACGATGTACGCTTTCGTTGATAGCGTCGCGAATGTTTATCACTGAGTGTTGAGGTGGGCACCGGTAGATTCAGTGTCTCCAGGACACCAAAAACGAGTGGTTGGCTGTGCATCTAGGATAAGTAATAAGGGAGTTATGAGTGAGTTTAAGTGCCTTTGTAGGTCCCGTTTTTTTCGATCGAGGCTAATTCAGAGGCTGAGTGCTAGCATTGAGGGGTTTTTTTGAAAAAAAAAATTAAAAAGATCAGTTAGCTGAGTTTCTTCCCGTTACATGGATATAACACATTCATAGTTTTATTCAATATTAAGATTCCTTAGACGTTGTTTCCTGCAAATTACGCGTTTATCCGCCCGGTACCGGGGGGAAGGTGTGAAACAGGTTAATAGACGCACTGCAAGCTAACCGCATTAATCAATGTTATTTTGACTTGCGGGGAATTTACCCCATCTTTTACAGCGTTACAGCGTTACAGCGTTCGTTGTTAGTGGGTCATAGGACGGGACTGAATACCCGCCTCTTATGAGCACTTTTGTGCCTTAGGTAAGGACTGAACTACCCGACTCTAAGCACTAATAATCTAATTTAACTAGAATATGTATTGTATTTCCCACCGTGACTAAGAACAGTGAGAACGCTGCTGACAACTCTAAAGTTTTAGTATAATCAATCACAGATTTTTGATATTCAAAACAGGTGTCTGCTCACCTTTTGTGTATAGCGCGCTTGCAGTTGTCAACAGTGTCTCTTTGTCCTCCCCCTGGACTGGATTCTGTCCCCTGGCTGTCGGTGTTCCTTTCTAGAGATCCGCTCACAAACGTCGGGAGTCACCACTTGTTGGAGTAGAATACCTCTGCTACGCGCCGTTCGTTGGATGAGGCTGGATCTCTATTAAATTAAGAAAGGAATTGAAAACACCGGACAAATGCGTCAGGACCCGCCAACTCATCAAACCAAAAAGAAATTGGACTTCAGGTTTGTGATGCGATACGGACACAGTTCTCAGGACCTGCCACTCACCAAACCCAAAAGCATTTTTACACTCAAAATCATCAGTATTTCTATCCATTTTTGGGGCGGAGATGGGTCATCTCTTCCTTCCCACTTTTCTCCCAAGCGAATTAGAGAACCCCTGGGGAGGAGCTGTTTAAACTGACCACCTCCTCCAAGTGTCCTGACTGGCTGGATTCGCTTCTGGCCGAGGTCAATCAGAGTTTCGAACAGAGTGAGACCCCAAACCACACTAGGTCAAAAGTCAATGTTTATCTTTACCTTATCTTACTCTACATTCCTTCCCAGGGGTTCTTTTCACCTAAACCATTCTCCCACAGACATTTAAACTCTTCTTCACTTATTTTACGATGTCTTTTAACGACTTAGTGACCGCATCTGGCTCTTAGTGGTGATAAGGATCAATGTTGGTGTGTGAAACACAGAATCTCTAAGTCAGTGAATTTAAAAGTGAGAATAACATTCTTTTTCTAAGTGATTATCAAAACCCGTTTGTGATTACATAAAACATTTCAAACAATATATGTTTACTTCAATACAGTGTAGAATCATATCTTTTTACTTCAGGGTGAAACTTTGTTTCTTACAAACTGTAAATAGCCAGATCTTACGACAGATTAAAACAGTAGGTCAACATAAGCGTTTATACGTGTGTGTTGTGGAAAACATGTCATCCTGTTGGCAGGGTAATATTTAAGCCTGACACTGGAGGAGCTGAAGTCAATGATTAACACTTGAGGACATGTTGGGTGACTTTGCTTATCTTTAAAACGGGAAACCAGCTACCTGAGCTGATTGGGCACAGAGGCAGCATGTGTTGACAGAAGAGGAGATAAAGCAGATGACCCCTGACCTGAGGAGCTCACTGGTCAGACTGAGGGGTGGGCTCAGCTCAGCCTCACTGCTCCTGCTTCACAGCTCTGTGGTTTCACTGTGCTCGTCTCTCTGCTGAGAACATGTCGTCTGTCTCTGTTCCTCCACCAAAATGCCTGCAAAAACCCCTGGTGGTTCCTCATCGCTACATGTTTGGACCAGGACCTTCCAACGTCCCACCACGGATCTTGAAGGCTGGGGCCAATCCTGTCATTGGACACATGCATCCAGAGATATTTGAGGTAACACACATGGTGGAGACTATGAAGGATGAGGGCATAATCCAAAACCCAAATGTATTCCTTTACTATCATAGGAGACTAAGGATGTTTGCATTTTTGAATTAAGGAAATGTTTTCTCAAAAGTTACAAATTACTTATTAGAAATGTTGCCAGTTCATTTGACCTCATGATTAGATAAATGAAAGGGGTTAAGGGTGACGTGTGTTAGAACCCCTCAAAACATAATTTTCATGTTTGCTTACTTTTATAGATAATGAGTGACATCAAAAGTGGGATCCAGTACATGTTCCAGACTCAGAACAGCATGACCTTTGCTGTGAGCGGCACCGGCCACGCTGCTATGGAGTGTGCCATCTTCAACACCGTGGAGGGGGGGGAAAGCGTGCTGAGTGCAGTCAACGGTATATGGGGAGAGCGAGCAGCGGAAATGGCAGAGCGGATAGGTAAGGATGATGGTTTCATATATTTCTCTGTCGAGAAAAACAAAGCTTACAATTCATACAATTCAATTATTTTGGATGTATTTGTTACTTTCCTGGTTCATTCTTTAGTTGTAAATCGAATACAAAGTTTAGTTTGAAAAGGCTCAATACTTTTCAGCAGGGCACTGTAGCTTTCAGCAAACAATACTTCAATCAGGAAAGACTTCATATTTCAGCTGCTGATTAATGCACATTTGGTGCGGTAGTATTTCCAGCAGCAGGGCTCTAATGTCGAGTTGACTCAAAATAAACCACAGTGCCTATGTTTATCATAAGGAACATGTCTCCCATGTATACGTATGGATGTATAAAGGGCACTATGTCACCCTGCATATCTCCAGGTCTAACCCTTCTGGGGGATATACACAAACTAATGTCATTAGCAAACTAATGTTAACGTTTGCATTAAAGTAAAAGGTTGTAGTGTCGAGAGATAGGAGTCGGAGGCGGTGCTTCGAAGGTGCAAATGGGAACTTTAATGAGCAGCAGAAACGGACATGTTGTCGGGTCGCAGCCCAGGAAGAGAAGAAAGCGAAAGGGAGGGCACGCCATAAATACAGTCAACAACATATATGTCCGTGCGGAAACAATACCCCCAACCTGTAGTTCCATGCGTGAATTATGTAAATCAGTGATCACTACACAAGCCCCCCCAGAATTCAACCATGGACACAATCCTCGCGTCCGGGAGGAAGCACCACAGGGGCCGAGGAGGGTGGGGCCGCAGGCGAGGGCCGGGCCACGGAAAGGGCCGCCGGAAGGGGGCCGCAGGAGAGGGTTGGGGCCCCAACGAGGGCGAGGGCATCCCCACCGGGCCGGAACGGGCCGTCGTCAGGGGGCCGCAGAAAGCAGGGTCGCGACACGGGGGCGGGCGTGAATATTCCGGTGGTCCCCAGCAGGGAGGAGCGCTGCCCGGCCGCAGGCAAAGGCACAGCGGCGGCGAGCACGAAGTCCCCGGAAAGAAGGAGCGGTATCCCCGGGGGGCAGGAGCAGCATCCCCGGGCGGAAGGAACCGTGGACAGGGGAGAGGCCAGACGGGGTCAGACGGGGCGACGTCCGAAGCCGCCGTCGAGGCGAACCGTGAGCCGAACCGTGAGCCGCGGTTAGAGGAGAGGCCAGGCAGGGTCCGGGAGTGCGCCACCCACGGGCCGATGAAGGCGTGGGCGACGTCCGAAGCCGCTGCCGAGGTGAAGGAAGAGGCCAGACAGGGTCCCGAAGCGCGCCACCCACGGGCCGATGAAGGCATGGGCGACGTCCGAAACCGTAGAGTCGAGGCGAGACGGGGTCCAGAAGCGCGCCACCCACAGGCTGAAGAAGGCATGGGCGATGTCCGAAGCCGCCGTCGAGGTGGCGAAAAAGCGAGAGGGTCCACACGAGGCCGACCACATATGGTCGAACCTCCTCTCAGGCACCAGAAAAAAACTTGGAAGGGTCGTCCTGTCCACGATTAAAAACAGGTGGGCGAAAAAGCGAGAGGGTCCACACGAGGCCGACCAGACTTGATCGAACCTCCTCTCCGGAACCAAAAAAAAAAAAAAGAAGAAAAAAAAAAAGGGGCTAACAGTTGGATGTCGTTAGCCGCTAGCTGCTAGTCGCCAGCTGTCCGTTAGCCGTTAGCGAGCGCAGCCGGACATGCAACCGCATGTCCCGAATAAACCAGGCATCGTCGTGTATCGGCTCCATGGAAGGCTTGCTGTCCCCCAGTGCCGAAAAGCCGTGGAAATGGCGAGCGTCGTCTGAATGGCCGCACCGAGCCACAGTCCGTGTGCACGTGGCAGCCACGGACATCTCCAAAAATCTCCGGCATTTCGAGAAAAACAGTATGTTTTTTGCCGTGTTCGATTCAGTCTCGGACCCTTCGCGAGACTTATGTCGGCGTCACCAATGTAGTGTCGAGAGATAGGAGTCGGAGGCGGTGCTTCGAAGGTGCAAATGGGAACTTTAATGAGCAGCAGAAACGGACATGTTGTCGGGTCGCAGCCCAGGAAGAGAAGAAAGCGAAAGGGAGGGCACGCCATAAATACAGTCAACAACATATATGTCCGTGCGGAAACAATACCCCCAACCTGTAGTTCCATGCGTGAATTATGTAAATCAGTGATCACTACAAGGTAAAACAAAATTGCAAAAACCTTATTGAGAACATTTTTGTTAGGATGGCGTGGAAGGGTAGGACCCAAATGCAGACTATCAAAAAGGTAACAGGTCTCGTAACAAAAAGCGAGCTTTATTTTAAAAGCTGATCAAAACAAGGCATGAAACAAATGGGTTGTACAAAAAACTGACCGTGACCCACATGGAGGGAGACAGGAGAGACAACCGTGACTGACATGGAGGAAGACAGGAAAAACCAACAATGAACCGACAGGGGAACACAGGAAGAGACAAGACTAAATACAGGGAGGGGTAATCACAAGACAAGACACAGCTGGGGTAAGAGAGGCAGAAACACAAGGGCAACAGGTGAACACAATCAGACAATCAGACACACCAGGGGAACTAATGACAGGAAGGCAAACACAGGAAGAAGGAACAGAGAAGACACAAGGAGGAAAACATTTCAAAACAAAAGGTGGAAAATGAAAACATAAATACAAAACCGTAACAATTTTAGCTAATGTTAACGTTAATTGCTAGCATTATTAGCATAGCCTGCTCCGTTATCAAACATCGGCAAACTCATAAGGCAAGTTAGGCTATTTGCTTCTTAATTCAACTTAATAAGTTCAAGTTATATCTAAATATGAAAGTTGTATTGTTTACCATGGTGTTATTGGTGAAAGTCATTAAATACACGCTCAGTAGACTATTGATGAACGCTAGGGGCAGCAAACAGTACACTGCGCAATTTAATACATCGGCAAGTAAATGTAATTCATTGATAAATTAGTACATACACATGTGATTTTCCACCATGGGTCCTGGGTGGAATCTCTGCAAAGGGAATCAGTTGTTCGACCACAGAACATCATGTGTTTACCCTACAGGTGCCACAGTAAATACCATAGTGGCGCCCCCTGGAGGCTTCCTCACTAATGCAGACATTGAGCAGGTACACTGACTCTAGTTATTATCAGGTTACCTAAATGACTTCCATAAAAGCTGCTGTCTGTGTGATCACACTGTTATCTCATCACAGGCCTTATCAAAACACCGGCCAGTGGTGTTCTTCCTCGCACATGGAGAATCTTCCACAGGAGTCCTGCATCCTTTGGATGGCATCGCTGAGCTGTGCCATAAGTAAGATGCAGCGCTCATTTCTCTTTCATCCTCACATCTAATAATAATAATTATATTGGCAGTTGATAGCTTGTTATGATGTGTGTCTGCAGGTATAACTGCTTGTTTCTTGTGGACTCTGTGGCTTCAATGGGAGGGACCCCTCTGCACATGGACCAGCAAGGTTACATATTCAATCCTGGTAGATTTCAAGTCTCTCTCAGCATTGTATTACACAATCTCTTTTGATAACAATAATTTTTGGATTGATTTTATTTTCAGGAATAGATATCCTATACACTGGCTCCCAGAAGGTTTTGAATGCTCCTCCGGGTACAGCTCCAATCTCCTTTAGTGAGAGAGCATGGTGAGAAATGAACATGCAAGTAGACTTTAAGGAATATGTAACACCATGTAATTAACCTTTAATCTGTTCACAGCCAGAAAATATTCAGCCGCAGGACAAAGCCTGTGTCATTCTTCTTGGATTTGGGTTGGCTTGCAAACTACTGGGGATGTGATGGCAAGCCGTCCAGACTGTAAGACATTTTTGTCTGCAGACAGGAACAGATTAGATTTCAAATTGTGCTCTCAAGTTCAGCGGTACTTGCACAATTTCTTAATATGGTCTGTCTTTTCCATGTCCCCTCTGTAGATATCACCACACAGGCCCAGTCACTGCGTTCTACTCTCTGAGGGAGAGTCTGGCTGTCCTTGCCGAAGAGGTGTTTTTTGTTTTGTTTTTGTATCCACTTCAATAGCTCTGTACAGATAGCCGTAGCAGTTTGTACAGTGACAAAAATATACCAACATAATAACAAAATAAAATGATTGGTTATGCATCAGCTGTTCTATAATGTTTTGAGTGTCTGTCTTGATTCCTTTACTGTTTTTCTAAGGGTCTGGAGAATTCATGGGAAAGACATCATAAAGTGGCAGAGTATTTCCACCAGGGCCTGGAGAGCATGGGACTCAAACTCTTCGTCAAAGAAAAAGTGAGTTTCAAGTTAAATCAGATTATTTCGTTTCATAATTTACATTCTCACAGTTTTTCAGTAGAGTTAAAACTCAATAATGATCAACAATTTAAATTATGAAAAAGAAAGAACATTTATAATTTCTGATTTAAATGGTTGTTACAGAAAGCAAGACTGCCTACAGTTACCACCATTGTTGCTCCGCATGGATATGACTGGAAAGAGATCACAACCTATATCATGAAAACCCATAATTTAGAGATTTCTGGGGGGCTTGGACCATCAGCTGGCTTGGTAAGACAAAAATCCATCAAATATAACAGTTTGTTTCTACTTGAACAACCTATGCCTTCCAGGTCACATAAGTCCTGTGAATGAAGCCTAACACCTGGTTGTTGGTTTTTGTAGGTGCTACGTGTTGGACTGATGGGATGCAACAGCAGCAAGGACAATGTTGACATGGTTCTGGCGGCACTGGGAGACGCTCTTAAACACTGCCACAAGAGCAAAGTGTGACATGTTGCTGTTGGATGCTGTAAAGATAATCAAGGAAGAAACTGTGTAATAAACCCCTATTCTCAGGATCTGTCTTGTGTGGCTTTACCATTATTTGAATGAGAACAGTGGACTTGCCTGCATAACGCTGTAGTACCTTTTGTCAGCAACAGTCGGTAAGCCTATTACTGCCAGTAAAAGAACAAATATATCCTGTAAGTCATTATAATGAAAAACGTTCTCAACATATTAAGTATGTAAGTCTAAGTACTGAAAAATAACAAAACGTTTTATTAAGTCATTATTTTCAAGAAAATACTTTTTCTTTCACTGAGGCAAGAATAGGATCTTATACTAAAACGTTTTATTATTATTGTATTATTTTCATTCTAATATAAACACTATATAGGTTATAATAAAAGGGTCATAATTTTTGCATGATAGTGTATACATTTCACACCTATGGAGAGACCATGTTTAGTCCTACATTATGTATGTGTGTGAGTGTTTAAATATGCACTGTTATTTATGGGATTAGTTTTGTATCATAAAGATAAAGCAACACTTTCTCAGAATAAAGCAAAACTATGAGTTTAAAAGAAAAAAAGACTGAGTCAAGCAAAATAAAATAAATTTCAAAAATAAAACTATAAGTTGCAAACAAATCATTTGTGTAATCATGTAAACTATAAGTATTTTTTCTTTGTTTTAACATAGGTTTTTGTTTGCAGTTCTTGTTTCTTCTTTCTCAATGATCAGACTTTTGCTCTCGCTGCAGCTCTTCTCGTTTGCGCTCCTTCACCTTTTGTTTGAGATTGTGACACAAACCTCCCAGGTGGGCGGGACTTTCAGGGTGTTCCCTTTCAGTTTGTGCTGTACTATACGGTCTGTTTCTTTATTCATTTCATTTCAAACCTTTATTTAACCAGATGGTCCCATTGAGATCATAGATCTCTATTTCAAGGGAGACCTGCAGCATATAGGTTCCACATGAAACATAAAACAATAAAGGACATCATACATTATATTTACAGGATACATTTACATAGTTATAGACATTTACAAGTACCCATAGTATCAACGAGCATTTCATTTAGCCTAGCTTTAAAAACATGCAGAGGAATGAGATTGCTCAGTTTCAATTCTTGCTGAAGATTGTTCCAAGCAAGTGGAGCTGCGCACATAAAAGCTGTCTTACCTAAGACAGTTCTTGCTCTTGGCACATCTAACAATACTACATCATGCGATCTCAGACAATAGCTGCTTGCAACTCTCTGTGTTATCAGAGAGCAGATATAATACGCAGACGGACCCGGTCTGCGACCCGGTGGAATCTAGGGGTAAGGGGAGCTGTAGTGGGCCGTTGCCCGCCACGGGACGGGAAGAGGGATGATAGCTGGTGTTGAGGCCAGGATATTATTTAACAACGCTGCTGCCTCAGTTAAGCTTTGTGCATGCTGCTGAGCAGACATGATGGAACAATCGCAAACGGACATAATATTGTGTTCGCTTTTTTGATATTTGCGCTTCTTCGCTGTTTTTTTTAAACGACTTCCTTTTCAACTGAGATGCCTTCCGTTTCAACTGAAATCCCGCCTATATGTTAGCGTTTCATTTGTGTATAAGAGATTGTTTCATATGTGTGAGAGCGTTTCATATGTGTGAGAGCGTTTCATATGTGTATATGAGAGATTTTTACATATGTTTGTAAATGATTTTGGTTTCAGTTGTGTGTGAGAGTGCTTCACATGTGTGAACGGTATTTCTGAATAATGTCCCTAAAGGCCCAGACACACCAGGCCGTCACCAGAGAACTCGCCGACACCGACACCGACAGTTGCATCGGCGAATTCTCCTGCGTCTTGGCCATGTGTCGCACTGGAACACACCGCAAAGACTTCAGCCGAACACGTACGAACTGCGCATGCGTGAGTGGCAATAACTCTCCTTACCAGCAGGCGGCGGTAGTGTGTATTCGTCATTCAAAATAGGCAACAACCGGAAGACAGAGAAGAAGAACAGACTGATATGTGAGTGATTCTACAATTTAGGGTACATTCCATGTCCATTGATGTCCATTGATGATAATTATAATTATTCTAACTATTTTCTTCAAAAATATCATATTTTGCCTATTATTGGAAAGCATGTTATAATATCACACAAACATTATGTGCATCCTATGCTTTATTTAGCTTGAAATGTGTCATGATGTTCTTAAATTGTCAGTTTTTGCTATGTCCGTTTTTCAGTTGAGGGTGTCTTGGATTCAAAATAATGAATAAAAACCATTAAAGTAAATTTAAAAAATGATTCATTTATTTCAAAAGTCTAAATACTAAAGAATAATAACATATTTTTAATTGATTTCCCCCTTTAAATAATTTAAATATCTTAATATATGAATGTCCGCAAAAGTTCTGTCAACTATGTTACTAACAGAACTTCCCCCTTTAACTCAAAAATTGTTTGTCCCAATACCATGTCACCAGCATCACATGATGCCATGTTCCTCTTTGGCAGACATTTTGAACACACTGTGGTGATTGGCCTCTACATTTTTACAATATTTTATGTATAATAGCACATGGTCAATTAATATACTCATTGACAATCAACAATGTTACGTACATTGTTATGGTTTACAATTGTTTAATGATTTTAATTCAATTATATGTGCAAATGTGATGTTAACCTGTTCAAGAAAATGACATGTGGTCATCCAGGCAAGGCCTACCATTGAAATGATGGGTCAAAATAGGGAAATTGTCAACTAGGTTACCTGTCAACTGAGTTACCCAGTACTGTAATAACTGTAGTAACTTAGTTGACAGGTAACCTAGTTGACAATTTGTATGACATGTAGACGTCATTACACATCATTATCAATGGAATTTTGCACTTCTGCCTTGAAATTAACATAGTGCTGATGGTTAATAATGTGTCCAGTCAACTATGTTATTTGCGTCAAATGTTTGACTTTCATTGTCAACTATGTTGCACCTCATTTTTTCAAATTTAAAATATCTAAAATAGTGCTTCTGATATCCTTTATAGTATAATGTATATCTACACAGGTTGGAGTTTTACATGACATCTCTTAAAACTATCAAAATGACCTGTATGGTAGTTTTATAATACAAAATATCCCTAAACTTAATGACAGTGCTGAACATATCACATGAAAAAACAAAACTTTAATACAATTATTTTTTAAACTTTAAAAAATCTTTGGATATATGGTAGAATAGACTCAAGAGCCTTTCAAATTTGATTTTACTTGAAGTGCAGGACTTAATCAAATGATTGTAATGACATCAAGTTTGTCCGTAACATAGTTGACAAACTGAGTAGTGAAAACATCCTTTCCCTTAAAATAAAAAAATAAATAAAAATGTTTAAGCTTTGCAACTAGTGGATATGTTACACTGAGGAATATACTAACTTGAACCACTGATTGTCCTATTGAGAAAGAACACTTTCTTTGTACTGTTTTGTTGATGTGAAATGCACCCTAAATTATAGAATCAGTCATAAACAAACAACAAATAGTGTGTGCGTTCCATTTTCACTCTCGTCCATCGAAAACATGTTTTAGAATATAAAAATACATGAATGATGAAATGAGCACATAAAGTGCAGACATACTATAAAATCACAGTTAATAGACCTGCATCTGATGATCGCAGTGTTCTGGCGGGTGTGTAGTTTATTGAGTCAGCAATGTAGTAATGTATGTAATGTAATAATGGCCACTTCTTGCTAAATTTACATTTCCATGTGATGCTTTTATCCGAGGCGACTCACAATAGGTAAATGAACAGTATACCCCACCTTTAAGTGCTTTGACAAAAAATCCATAAAAAGATTTCATCTGTGGAAACCGTAGTACTGTAAAAAACACGACTAATCATTTTAGCCGGCCCGGCTAAAATAGCTGTATGGCCTACCTGCCTGTCAGCCTTCCATCTGTGCACAAATTTATCTCGTGCCCCCATTGGTCGTGTGCGCGTTCGTGTGTGTTGGAGGAGGGCCTCTATAAGGAAGTGGCAGATTTTTTCCGGTCGTGTATTTTCAAATTCTAGCGATCTCGAGCCGGTTTCTCAAACTTACATACCCTACCTTTAACTCTTTTTAGGGTGCAGCTATATGTTTTATTTATTTCAAAGTGGGTCAATTTTAAATTGTATTTATTTTTCTTCAAATGTGCAGAGGACTCCCCAAGTGCTGTGTTTAATTTATTTTAAAGTAGGCCTGTGTATATATTTTTTTATTCTCCTTATAAGAATTCTTTGTTTCTTCTTTGTTTCTTATTAGAGGTTAACAGTTTTATAATGTAATACATAATAAATGCAAAAAAACTGTAGTTTTTGTCTATGATATAACAATATATACAACTTTATAAGCTATCAAATATGTTTTGCGGCTCCAGACAAAAGAAAGTGTTGGAAAAGGGGGCAAAATGGCTCTTTTGGTCAAAAAGGTTGCAGACCCCTGCCTTAAAGAGTCCTGAATGTGACCTGGGTGTAGTCATATCTGACAGCATGTGGAGGGATATTCTTGGTCCGGTGCATTCCTCCTCTATTATGTGCTAGGCATGGCCTGATGCAGTGCAAGGTGCTCCACAGAGCCCACTTCACCAATGCTAGATTGGCTCAAATATTTCCGCAGAGAAGTGAGTCCTGTAATAGGTGCAAACTCTCTATTTCCCCTGAGACTGACGTGGCCTAAGTGGAGCCCGCTGGGTGGGGGATGAGAGAGTCCCATACTTTTCTTTCTTCTTGTTTCATATTGACCAATACTCTGTGTATCCTTTATTGTTCTCCCATGTCTTAATTGTTTTTTAGTTATTTATTATTCTACTCAATGTGAATTGGTTGTATTCCTGCTACTTGTGACTTTGTGATGTGAGTTATTTATTTTATTGTATTTATAATTGTATTTATTGTATTATTTTTTTTTTTTTCTCTGACCATGACCTAATGGGATAGGGGTGGGGATAGGGGATGGGTATTTGTCTTTCCTTTAACAGACACATTGTTCTGTACTTTGTTTAATGTGCTGAAAGTGCCATGTCTGCAAAAAAAAAAAAAAAAAAACCGAAACAGGAAGTGCGTCAATGTATTTCCGATGTACTTCCTTATTGATATTTTTGCTTCAGTAAAAGGCGGGTAAATGGTAACAAGGAACTTCCTGCTCAGCTGGGAGATTTAGCTCAGAATTGTGTTCGTTAACCCCGGGAGAGGACGGTAAACAGACCGCAGTAATGGCGTGTAAAAGAGGAGCTCTTATCGTGCTGGAGGGGGTGGACAAGGCCGGGAAAACCACTCAGTGCAAGAAGCTGGTGCACGCGCTGCAGCAGAGCGGCCAGCCCGCTGAGATGATGAGGTTCCCGGGTAAGTCATGCTAATTTTGTTTTGGGAGTTGTGTTAGTGTAGGTGTGGCTCGTTGTTTTTCATCCCTGTGCAGGTGTGCAGAGCAAATATACCCCTTCATTTCTGTGCAACATTAACGTATAAAGCTGTGGGGCGGTCTCTTGGGGCCAGAAAGGACCACGACGATCGGACAGCTGATCAGCGCTTACCTGGAGAACAAGAGTGACCTGGAGGACCACACCGTGCACCTGCTGTTCTCCGCCAACCGCTGGGAGCTGGTGTAAGACTGCTGCCTCTTTGTGTTTCAGTAAAGTATAAGCAGCAGGCAGAGGTGGGAAGTAACTCATTACATTTACTCAAGTAATGCGCTTAAGTACCAATCTGTCAAACGTATCCCATACTTGAGTATTTCCATTTCATGCTACTTTATACTTCTACTCCCTAACAGTTTGGAACATTTATTGTACTTTTTACTCCACTACATGTATTAACACTAATAGTTACCAGCTACTGTTGACATATCAAATACATGACAGTTGTATATGATATAATGCAGTACGTTACTACCAATATGTACAAAACAATGTATTTGTAAGACATTAAAAGGAATCATTTCATATTCCATATTAATATAATATAATACTTTCTAAATAGCCATGGTGCACAATACAGGGATGCAAACTCATCAGGTACGAAAAAGGTGACAAGGATCCGAGCCCCCCGACCCCACGGAATATCGGCTTTTAAAATGAGGAATAACAGAGGATTTTAGCAGTCAGAACAACTAAAGCAGTTAATAATAACAGAAACGCCAAAGAGTCACATCTAATAGAAATGTATAAAAGCATTTATTTGAATTGTGTAGCAGTCAGTTTATAATTTTGGCAGAACTGTTGAGCATTTTGAAAATGTATTTTCATGCCTCTGTGCAAGGCTTAGTCTTTCTATCTGTATAGCCAGTGGTGTAAAGTAACTAATGGCGCGTTTCCACTACACGGCCTCGCTCGGTATGGCTAGGCCTCGTTAGGACTGGCTCACTTTATGGCGCATTTCCATTACAGTTTAGGAACTGGGGTAGTATCTATAGTAACGCAGTGTAGGCGGAGCCGTGACGTCATCTTCAATGAGAACCCCAGAAAAACAACACAGCCGTTAGCTGTTAGCACTCAAGCTCACAGCTCCTCATATATGTTCAGAAACTAGACAAAAGTTAAACAAGTACAAACCACAGACTGCCTGTGTCATGGCGAATACAGTCGCTGCTTTATTTATGTCTGTATAGGCCGTTGTTGTGAGTGTGGACGGTCGGAGCATATACTGCGTTAGCTTAGCCAATCTCCATTTAGAAAACACGCATTTTAAAAGGTTTTTCGCCTGCCGTCTGTCTGCAGACTTGTCAAAGCATTAATTCATGGTTTTTACTAACCGGTATCAGTATGTTGTTACTTCGGCATCATTTTGAAACGTGTATTACAATTAAATCACGGTCAAATATGTCCATCTTGTTGTAGTTGTAGCCCCCTTGCCAGCGATTCTCTCTCTAGTTTAGCATACTCAGCCCGACTCAGCCTCGTTGTCTCTGGCCCTAGACCCACGATTTTATGAGGCCAGAAAAACTGTGAATTAGGACCCGCCGGCCGGTACTAGGCCAAGTGGAAACGCAACCAAAGACGGGCTGCTGACGTCACAGCCCTCTTAAACCGTGCTCCGCGCTGTAGTGGAAACGCGCCATAAGTTCATAAACTCAACAAGTACTATACTTGGGTACAATTTTGAGATACTTGTACTTTATTTAAGTATTTCAATGTGTTGCTACTTTGTTCTTCTACTCCACTACAGTTCAGAGGTAAATGGTGTACTTCTACTCCACTACATGTATTTAATAGCTTTAGTTACTTTACAGATCTGGATGAATGATGTGAAATATAATCAAGTGTTAAATCAGACTTTAGTTCCACCTGGAGTAAATTCACAAGCTACCCTGCAGTATACAAAGTCATTCAAACTAGCTGCACCTTTACCAGCTTTGAGAACACTTTCATGATCAATCATTATAAAACATATCATATATATTATTCTGAAATGGACCAATCTGCACAACGACTACTTTTACTGTCGCTACTTTAACTATATTTTGATGAGAATACTTTTCTACTTTTACTTGAGGAACATTTTGAATGCAGGACTTCTACTTCTACTTTTACTCAAGTACAAGACCTGAGTACTTCTACTTTTACTCAAGTACAAGACCTGAGTACTTCTACTTTTACTCAAGTACAAGACCTGAGTACTTCTACTTTTACTCAAGTACAAGACCTGAGTACTTCTACTTTTACTCAAGTACAAGACCTGAGTACTTCTACTTTTACTCAAGTACAAGACCTGAGTGCTTCTACTTTTACTTAAGTACAAGATCTATACTTATACCACCTCCGTTTATAGCCTATGAAAAAAACTATTTGAAAACGAAGGCTAAAGCTAACGTTAGCAGATAGTGACAATGTATGCTAGTTAGCTAGCTCAACGATAATATTGCGACAGGAACACTTTTCAGTGCACATCACGCTCTGCCGCTCCGACAGGGAGCTCTGCTCTGAACACCTGAACGGCCTGTTCTAACAGCTGTTCACCAGCGGTCCAGTCTGTGCCACAGTGACTCCGGACCGCACAGTTAATATTAACGAACGCACCCGTAGGTAATGTAGCTGCTGAAGCTAGACCCTCATCCCGGAGCAGCAGAGCCTTATTATACATCCATGAGCAGAGCCGACAGGCAGGAAGACTCGAGCACACAGCTCGTGCTTCATTATAATATATAAAAAAAGAACACCATGCGTGTCATGATGGCACATCACAGCTCGCGGCCGCAGATTACTCCGGGTCCCAGACCCCCCCCCATACCCCAAAAATATTTTTATTGCAGATCTACATGAATCACACAAACGACCTATTTTGGATTCAAAACGGCGAATTTCGCCGAAAGGTGACAAGTTTGCATCCCTGACAATGGGTACTTTCACTTTTGATACTTTAAGTACATTTAGCTGGCTATACTTCTACTTAAAGGAAACCTATCATGCTATATTTAAAGGATATATTGTAGGGCCATACCTATATAAGCAGGGGTGCACATAACTGGTACGCAGGTACGCATGCGCGGCAACAATCTGAAATGCGTAACGTCACTTGTGTCACAACGCGCCTTTGCGTACCTGATAGGTCATCAAAACAAAAACACATATTTCGTCTATACGTGTTTCTTGTCAACACTCAGTGGAGTAAATTATTAGACATGTCCAAAAAAAACAAAGACATTAAGCAGCCACTTTGCCGTTTCGCTCCCTGCAAAAATCTTCGGACTTTCTATGACTGATTGAACTGGGTGCTGGCTGTGCCGCGCAGGACATAACCGACGGACCTGTGAAGCTTCACAGGAGAAAGAGGCTTAGATCACTGGACGACAGAGTTGGTCGCCGTGTGCACAGACGGGGCTGCTGTTAACGTCAGTGTGTAGGCCTACAACAGAATTGTACCAAAACTACATCAACTGGCTGCAGTGGGAGACTCCCCTGTGCACATTCTGTGCCCCGCGCACACACTGGAGAACTGCGCAAAATCAGCTGATCACAACGGTCACGCTCTGTGGTCAAGCTGCTGCAGTTAAAACACACAGCTGCCTGCAAACTTACTCAGGCTGTTAATGGAAGAGTTTGAAATCAGACAGGGTTAGGTGGATGAAGTGTTACTCAAGTAAAATTAGAAAAGTATTATCATCAACACCTAGTTAAAGTAGCGACAGTAAAAGTAGTCATTTTGCAGATTGGTCCATTTCATAATAATGTATATGATATGTTTTATAATTATTGATCATTAAAGTGTTTAAAAATGAGTTTGAATGACTTTGTATACTGCAGGGTAGCTTGTGAATTTACTCCAGGTGGAACTAAAGTCTGATTTAAGACTTGATTATATTTCACATCATTCATCCAGATCTGTGAAGTAACTAAAATGTATTAACTACATGTAGTGGAGGAAAAGTACATGATTTACCTCTGAACTGTAGTGGAGTAGAAGTACAAAGTAGCATAAATTGTACCTAAGTACAGTACTTGAATAAATGTACTTTGTTACTTCCCTCCTCTGAAATCAGGTCATCAAGTCATGTGATAATTTCTTAGTATTTGATCCTTCAACTTGGCCTCAGGAAATGCAAGGACTTCACAGTTTTGGCAACAAGTTTTGGAGAAAGCAAATCGGAGGCTTAAAAAGAGACAGGGAGGTGCATCTTCATCATCTAGCATGCAAGAAGTGTAAATAGAGGACAGTGAAGGAGACACTGAGGAGGACAGTGAGGAAGACTGCACTTATTAAAACCACGCTTCATGTGGGGTGAGTACCAAACGCTGTCTCCTGGTACTCATCTGAGTAACTCACTAAAAAAGTTATGTGCACCCCTGTATATAAGGTATATTTATACGTTTCTGTTTTCGAAATACCAAACAGATCATGCATTTTAGCCATGCCTCATTTCGCTCTATGTGTTGTTTTGTGAGCTGCAGCTGACCACGCCCCCCTGCAGGAGAGGGGAGCCGCTCTGATCAGCTGCTGGGCTGTCAGAAGAGGGGGAGAAAAAGAGATCTCCGTCCTCCGTGTTTTATTATAGCCTATATAGAGTCGTTATTCATTTGTTTTAAAGCTCAATAAATAACAAAGAAGACCTTTGACCGGCACTTTTCTAATTTTGTCCGGAAGATTTAAACTTTAACGGACATCTTGACCGGCGAAACAAACTGAAACTGAAACTCTGCCGCACGGTCCCCTCGTTCCTTGGAAGAGGCGGAGAGGTGGGTGTTTGTCATCTGCTGGTGGACTAACCGGAGAGAATTACAGTGCTTGCCTCGACGGGGAGGGGTTGCATTGAATTAAAGCAGCAGAAGGAGCAAACGCTTGCCTCGGGGAGGGAGAAAGAAAGCCACAGCGGAGAATAAACAGAAGGGTAGCCATGGTAACCAAGTCTTCTTCGCTGCTTTTGTGGCAGACTACAGCGCCACTTACAGGCCTGGCATATGTACTACAGCGTCTCCAGCGCTTTCGAGCGGCAATGGCCGGCCGTGGCCCAACCCCACATTCCCCTGATAGGTGGAGAGTTGGCCCAATAGCCGTAGCGCCACTTTCCTGACGTCAGTAAAGTGTTCAAATCTGGATCAGTTTTTATCAGATCCATTGCAGCCCCTTTTTTAGAGATTTGGGTATGGAGGAAAATAGAGAGGGTTGTGTTTTCTGACACTTGGTGAGTTCCCTGGAACACCGGGGACACATATTCATGTATAAAAGACGTACAAAAGTGCATTTTGCATGATAGGTCCCCTTTAAGTAACATTTAGAATTTGGGATTTTCACTTGTAATAAAGTTTTTCTAAGTACTTCTTCCACCACTGGCAATAAGTAACATAAGTAAGTGACTCCTTTCCTGTCACAGCAGCGGAAGCCCAGATGTATTTGATAGTGTAAATGAAGGTTTTATGAATATTAAGTGGGTGTTTGTGCCATGATACTAAATGTAGGCTGTAAAAAGTTCTACAAAAAATGTCAAGGATTCAGTTTAGAGACACATTCACAATTTATAAGGGTCGTTCGTTTTGTAGTTAACGTTAGGTAATATTGCAACTCGAGTTGTAGGTTAATAAACATTAGACTGTTAAAAAGTTGAGTTTAAGCTACTATTTTTATTTGACTGAGCCCCCCAGTGCCACTGTGTACTGATAAAAATCCTTATTAAAAGTGACTGAAGTGCATGGGTTGTCTAAGCTGAATATCTATTTCTGGAGAGAGACACTAGTCTTTTCAGTGCTGTAAGCACATTAACAAAATTCCTTTCACTCCATATTGTTTTGCTGTATGCACATTTGTCTACCTATTGTGTTGAGTGATGGATAATGGATGGATAATTGATAAATTGACCCTTTAAATGTTGCGCTGTTGCAGATAAATCTGAAAAAAGTATATTCTTTTGTCATTAGTTTCCTGTGTAAGTAATAGCCTACATGCCTTATATTGTGACCGCAGACCTTTAATGAAGAAGAAGCTGGAGCAGGGCACCACTCTGGTTGTAGACCGATACGCGTTCTCCGGAGTCGCTTTCACCAGTGCAAAGCCGGTGAGACCCCCCCCCCCCCCAGCTTCTCAAACTCTGCGTTCATCAGACAGCATCGTTCTTACATGTTCTCTCCTTCAGGGTTTCTGTCTGGATTGGTGCATGAAGCCTGACGTGGGACTGCCGAAGCCGGACCTGGTGATGTTCCTGCAGCTCAGTCCGGCAGAGGCCGCTCTCAGAGGCCAGTTTGGAGAAGAGAGATACGAGACTAGTGTTTTCCAAAGAGCGGTCCAGCAGAAATTCGAACACCTGATGAAGGATCCCTCAGTCAACTGGCGGGTAAGATGCGGGGTCTGGATCCTACATTTATTTCAAGGTGTCATTTAAAAAATTTAAAAAATCTAACGTGATCTAAACTGTGTGTTATAGGCAATTGATGCTTCTCAGAGTGTTGAGGATGTGCACGAGAACATCTTGACCCATAGCCTGAACAATATCAACGCAGCCGAGAACCTGCCTCTCGGAGAGCTGTGGAAGTGAAGCAGTCTCGTTTTTTAAATAAATTAAACTTGAATAAATGATGTGCCATTGTCAAATATCAGATTCTGACTTTATTTGTTTTAATTCCTCTTACATTGTTGTTCACCGGTCTATATGCTGTGTTGATTAAATAAATAATCAAATTATTTAATGTGTGTTCAAAAGTTGTCAGGGTTACTTTGCATGAGTAATTAATGCAACTTATCTGTAGATTTGACTTAATTTGGTTTCATTACAGGCTGTTACAGACTTTAGTTATTAGGGACAAACCTCGTAAGCCATGGGCATCATAAACCATCGAGTTTCTTACAACATAAAACTGTTATGGCAATTTAACTTATGGAGTCAGGGAAAGGCACCATATCACTTCAGAATAAACATTTAAAGTGTTAAGACTCATGGAAACATGTATGTGAAGATGTGCATACAGAATTTATCCTGAGCTCCTGCTACGACTTCCAGCCAGGCAGTCTCAATGTAGGAACAGAGAGCTTTCAGAGGCTGCTGCTGAACGCTGTGTGACACACTGACTACACCATCGGAGCTGGAGCCGCTCAACAGGGCTCCAGTTAATGTTCATCCCCTCAGGCTCTCCCTTCTGAAGCACAGAAGAGAGTGAGAATCTTTTGCCGCTTGTCGAGAACAGCATATCATTGTTCATAATGTTCCTCAGAGGGAAAGGATCTCAAACTCCTCGTCCTCCGAGTCAAAGAACCGCTCCAACCTGTCGGAGTCTGAGAAATCTGCAAAGGGAACGTCAACACGTAGAAAAGGAAAACATTACATTTCATTTGGAATAATTATTTTAAATATATTTAGCAAAAATAATATTAAGTTCACTTACCAGGAGTAAGGTTGAGGGCATCCACGCTGACCATGTGGGAGGGCTGACTGTCTACCAGCTCAAACATGGGCAGGCCCCCCCTGTTGCAGGACAGCTGCAAGAGAAGGGCCATCATGTTATCATGTACACATTCCAACAATAAAATGATGCTTATATTTACCATTATGCATCATATGACTTATATTGTTTAATCATTTTGGCTATTAAAGGTCACCTATTATGCAAAATGCACTTTTTGATGTCTTATATACATAAATATGTGTCCCCGGTGTGTCAGGAGACTCAAAGTGTCAGAAAATAAAACCCTCTCTTTTCCTCCTGACCCACATCTCTAAAAACGGGGGTACAACGGAAGTGATCCAGATTTGCAGAGAACTTGACATCATTACTAAAATGTGGGCTGGCTTTACATTGAACTCCTGGCAACGTTCCACCCACGGCTCAACCTATCGTCCCCATATTCAGTCGCTAGCTGAATGCCCTCCCTCAGCTGTGTGTGTGTGTATTCAGCAGGATGTCTACGAGAGTGACTCAGAGTAATCAAATGTTCAAAGTTCAACCTCAGCTCCTAAAATACAGACACTCAGATTTCTAATGACAACATGTCCCTATTAAAACCACATTTGTTTATTCACACCTATTCAATTAAAAAAAACTAACATTCTCATGTCAGGCTTTTTATATAGAGCCCTGGCTTCAATATTGTAGTTTTTAAAATGTTTAACCAGATTGAGCCATCTTCCCATGTGGGGCCAAAAAAGGCTATTTTCCTGCACAACAGAATAAAACTTAATCAAAATACTTTTTTTCCCAATTATTGACACATCCCAGTCTGTGACAAAAAAATCTCTCTAGAATTACGTATACAAAAGATCATTTTATCTTTGTGTTTATCATCAAATAAAATGGGCCAGTTCAGCCTTCATTAGAGGAATAGATTTGAAAGGGGGGACAGAGGGGAAGACACACTTAAAGAAACGCAGTTCAGAGTCAAACCTGTACATGGGCTGCAAGTTCTACCAAGAGAGCTATCAGGCGGCCCAAAAAATAAATAAATATTTTGTTTATAAACTTAGTAAAAGTGAAAAATAATATTTTATTATAATATTTTGGTTTTTAGGACATCTTGATCCTAACAACATCAGAGTCACTTTTTTTTAACGTAACACACAAGGGTTAACTGTCATGGACAAGTCAATGGAGCAACAAAAGATCGCTGTTCGGAAACGTACCCTTCTTATGCGCATACACCAGTCATCAAACTCGTCCTCTGTTCTGCAGAAGAAACCCTGGTGGACACCAGAAAACAGTAAACTACGGAACATTACTGTAAACAGGCCTGCTGCATTCACACTTTAACAAAGAGCTTTAGTATGAGATAGGAAAGCTGTGTGCTATAAAACCCTCCCCAGCATTCCTACCGCTGCGATGGACGGGTCCAGCTCACAGATGTGCATGCGGCAGGGGGGGTGCTGACAATGGTACGTCTCATCAGGGACCTGTCCGTCTTCACAGGGTTCCACTGCAGGCTGCGTGGTGTGGGGGTCTAGATAGATGAGCTCCTCTCCTGGGAGGAAGGAAGCGTGTTTATCATTAGATTGTTTTCTTGGTGTAAGAGGAATTAATATGGTGAGCATGAGTGTGCAGTGCACAACTGAGTGTTTATTTCACAAACAGAGACCAGACATACCGACATAACCAATGAAGTAATGGGCACTGTTGGGTTTTCCCCCAATAACCCCCAGGGACTGAGGCAGCATGAAGCATTGCTGTGAAAAGAGACGAGAGGGTTTATCTCAGCCCGCTGCAGCTCGCTTTGCCTCAGTGCTTATTTATGAACCTGTTTCCATCTTTTTAGCCGATTTAGTGTTTAACACAACATACAAATGACATTAGGAACATTTCGATAAGCGTACCATTTGTTATGTTTTATATTATTTGTGTGAGCTTTGTTTCTTTTTTTAACAACAAAAGTAACTGTGGTGTCGGGGATACTCGATTTCCAAGATTAAAGTCATACATGTACGCTGAAGTACTTCACCTTGAGGGTTCCGATGTACGCCTCATTTATGTCGCTCAGGCCCAGCCTGAGGGGGATGAGCAGCACCAGAGGTTTCCAGAGAGCCGTCTCCTCCTCAGCCATAGCACAGGCCCCCCCCGGGCAGCCGTTCAGCTCCCCTGCTCCCTCTGGTTCACAACAGGCTCCTTCAACATCCAGCCAGGGCATACACAGACGCTCTGCAGGGAAAATGATCACAAAAACACACTTAATGGCTATTGTCTATACTGCGATAAAAAGATAAAACATACAGTGTGTGGTTTATGTTCCTAAAAACTGTAAAGAATAAGCATTATCAGCTCATTAAGTAGAGTAGAAGTCAGAAAAGGATTAAACAGACCTGGTTATGGTGTGTTCACAATAAAAACACCCACAAGAGAATATCTCAGTGTCGTTATTTCCTTAGAGCAGATACAAATGTAGCATATCGTAGACCTCAGTGCTCCTCGTGCCTGCGAGTGTAACCCAACGTGAACATTTGCTTGGCATTCGGTATAAACACAGCAGTTGAGTAAAACACTAACAGTGAACACAAAGCTTCTTACCTATTAGAACTTTCCACTAAAGGAAAGTTAAGACTTTTTTTGCACATGGACATGCACCAGAATACTGTTGAGGGATAAGCTTCTTAATGTTTGTTTTCACACAGAAACTTTGACCAGTAATTAGCTTTAGCTTAAGTACTTCTGTAAACATCCCAGCGTGGTCCACAGTCTAACCTGCAGCACAAGTTAAACTGCTTATGCAAATTCAGGAAACAGGAAGCACTCACTGATCTCTTCGATGACCACAGTGTTGTCCATCGCCACGTGTACCACTAATCTGCTCCACGTATCAAACACTGCCAGCTTCCTGAGAGAAAGACAGTACATTTTACTCAATTGTGAAGGCATTTTTTTGAAATGCTTAGAACCTCCTCCGTGAACACTGTATCTTGTCTGTTCTTCCTAAATGTTTGTGGGATGGATGAATAGATGGTGAGAGAGGACAATAAAATAAAAGACAAAGAATATTTGATACAAACTAATAGATGCCATCCAGTGTGTGTGTCTCAATCACAATGACTGAATGACATAAGGGCAGTTTTACAAAAAACGTAAACATATAGTTCTGGTGGCCTTTTAAGATTCAATGACACTTGTTCATACTGTACTTATATTCTTATTCCGTTTTGACAAGTTTGGAAAGCGGTTCCAGTATTTGTGTGAACATTTTCAATAAAATCAAAGACCTAAATTGAAGAAGTGGTGATCAAGTCATTAGTAGATTGATCAATAGAAAATCTGTCTCAAATGTGACAATTGGTAAAAGGCATGCAGTTGTTTGTTGTAGAGCAGAAACATGGAATGTAAACATATTCTTTTGTTGAGAAAAGACGATATGACACTTAATTTGAAGTTATTGAGCTATTTATCCTTGCAATGCAAGTTAAATATCTCTAGGGCATTACATTGGCAATTTGAATACTTCGCCTCTGGCTCTGATGGGCATTTCATAAAATAGGATCATATTTATTGCTAAATGTATCAATATAGTAATTCATATTATCAATAACCATCAATTGGATCCATAAAATGTAAACTATCTTGTATCTTCTCTACAGAACTTACTTTAGAACCTGGGCCACTGTGTTGGGTCCATACCACTGGCCTATGGGCTTTCCCTCTCCAACTCCCATCTGGGCTGCATAAACAGAAACAGAAATCTGTCATGCAAGCTCTTTCAGAGTGAGGGCTTGGTCACATTGGAAGGGTCTGACACTCACTACTTACCAATTTGATGGATGGAATAATAGCTGTCTTTTTTGTCAATGAAGGCGTTGAGAATACTGATGTACTCTTCTCTTTGTCTCTGGCCTCTGGCCCATCTCCAGTCTGAGAACAACACAACAGTTATCAGGCCTGTGCTAACAGGCTCTGTATGGTATAGTCTACTCCATGGAGAAGACATGGTAGTGCCATTCAGTCATACAATCTGGTGTCACCTACCTTTATGTTTATCCGTCTATAATCAAAGGGAATTAAAACAAATAAAATAAAAATGGAAAGTTGTCTTACCTCTGCCTAGATGTCTACACACCAAGGCCTCCCCGAGGATCATCTGTCCGCACCGCAACATGCAGCCCCATCCCGTATCAGATGTTGGTCCTGTCCCCCCT